AAACCACAGATAGCACTAAACCCTAGATTTACTTAGGTTTTTTACATACATGTATACCTATGATAAAGTTTAATTTCTAAATTAGGCACAGTAAGAAATTAGCAACAGTAATAATAGAACAATTATAACAGTATCCTGTAATCAGAGCTATATGAATGTGTTCTCTCCCTCCCAGAATGTCTCATCCTTGACTCACCTTCTTGTGATGATGTAAGATGATGAAATCCCTGCCTGATCAGATGAGATGAGATGAATGATGTACCATTAGGCTGCTCTTTACCTTCTGGTGATAGGTTAGGAGGAGAAGCACTTGCTTTGGGTGATCTTGGGTCATCAAGCCGTGGTGCTCTGAGTGGTTGGATGTTAGCAGCAGGTGATGATGATGATTAGGGATCCCAGGCAGAACAGAGTGAGTCAGCCCAGATTCTCCCACGTTACTCATAACAGCACGCAATTGAAAACTTAAGAATTGTTTCTTTCCGGAATTTTCAGACCACAGTTGACTGCTGGTAACTGAAACCACAGAAAGCAAAATCACAGGTTGGAGGGGGGGCTACTGTAAAAGAAGTGGGAAAGAAAATAGACAGAGGCTAATTAGAAGTTATTAGAGAGCAGTTCTTTGATCACAGACCACACAGCTGTTGGTGTCAAGTTTTCCTGCTGCCTCTTGCAGCTTTTCTTCAGCGATCTCATTCCTGTGGTTTTAATTGCCATTTGTATGCTAGTAACTCTAAGATCAGTTCAGTTACTCAGTTGTGTCCAACTCTTTGTGACCCTGTGGATGGCAGCACGCCGGGCCTCCCTGTCCATCACCAACTCCCGGAGTTTACTCAAACTCATATCCATCGAGTTGGTGATGCCATCCAATCACCTCATTCTCTGTCATCCCCTTCTCCTCCTGCCCTCAATCTTTCCCAGCATCAGGGTCTTTTCAAATGAGTCAGTTCTTTGCATCAGGTGGCCAAAGTATTGGAGTTTCAGCTTCAGCATCAGTCCTTCCAATGAATATTCAGGACTGATTTTCTTTAGGATGGACTGGTTGGATCTCCTTGCAGTCCAAGGGACTCTCAAGAGTCTTCTCCAACACCACAGTTCAAAAGCATCAATTCTTCAGCGCTCAGCTTTCTTCATAGTCCAACTCTCACATCCATACCTGACCACTGGAAAAACCATAGCCTTGACCAGATGGACCTTTGTTGGCAAAGTAATGTCTCTGCTTTTTAATATGCTGTCTAGGTTGGTCATAGCTCTCAGATCAACTCCAAACTCATATATCCAGCTTCCTATTAAAGATCTCTTCTTGGATGTGTCATAAGTGCCTCAGATTCAGTGGGTTCAAATCTGAACAGAGCGCCATCTCCCCACTGCTCCCTCCCACCCCGTCTGTTTCCCCCGTGTTTCCCTGTTTCGGAGCACTGCAGTCTCGCCCACCTTAGTCCCCTCTCTCTAGAAAGCAAAGCAGCCTCCTTAAGGCTTCTTCTTTTACTCCTCTGTCTAGTCGGTCAGCCAGACTGTTCACTGTTCCCCTTGAATCTCTGTCACATGTATCCATCTCTTGTTCTCATTCTGTTAGTCTGGCCCAGGAATTGGCAAACGTTTTCTCTGGAGGGCCAGCTGGTGGATACCTGGACCCCCCAGGCGACTCAGTGGTAAAGAACCCACTGCAGTGTAGGGGCCTCGGGAGACGCGGGTGGGATCCCTGGGTGGGGGAAGGTCCCCTGGAGGAGGGCATGGCAGCCTGCTCCAGTGTTCTTGCTGGGGATCCCGTGGACAGGAGCCTGGCGGGCTGCAGTCCATGCGGTTGCAAACAGTCGGGCATACTGAAGTGAGTTAACACAGCAACTGCTTGAGGGTTTGCAGTCCATATGATCTTTTTTCCCACAATCACTGCACCTCCAAAGCAGCGATGGACAAATATGGTAATGAATGGGTGTGGCTATTTCCCATGAAACTTTATTTATAGACACTGAAACTTGAATTGCATATAATTCATGAAGTATTCTTTTGACTTTTCTTTCCAACCATTTAAAAAAGTAAAAGCCGTCCTTGGTTTGCTGCCCACACAGAGTCTGGCGGCAGGCCAGATTTGGCTCACAGGCCTTGGTTTGTCCACCCCAGCTTTAAAGAACATTTTTACAATGTTGCAGTTATTTACTTGACCACCTCTTGTAAATACTAAACTTGGGTGCCGAGTGTTTACCCGTTGTTGTGTCCCTAGTTTCCTGTATGGTGCCCTCATAATAGTACCCTCTGCATTTTTATTTTTTGCATTAAAATATTGATACAATTCAAGGACCATGAAATTTGCCTTAAGTGTGCAATTCATTGGTTTTTAGTATACTTACAATATTGAGAAACCATCTCCTATTTAATTCCAGAACATTCTTTATCACCCCAAAAAGAAACCGTATGCCCATTAGCAAGTTCACCTTCATTCCCCCTCCGTTCAGCCCCTGGCAACCACCAATTATTTTTTGTCTCTGTGGATTTGTCTAGTCTCGACATTTCATATCAGTGGAAGGGCCCGCCGTAGTCTTTCTTCCCCTGCCTTCTCTCTGATTATTGTTTCCCCTGTATCGTATGCTTTAGCCAAACAGTGCTTTGGTGGGGTCTTCATCTATGTCTCATGTTTTCTTGCCTCTCTGCCTTTTCTTATGCCACCTCTGCTATCTGAAATACTCTTTTCTACTTATGTAGTGTTTTGCCTAGCCTTCAATGCCTAATTCAGGTAAGACCTGTTCCATGAAAGTTTCCTGATAATGCTAGGTAGGAGTCATTTCTGAAATCCTACAGTAATTATACTACTTTAGGTGCTACCTTGCTTACTGATTCTTTGAGACTGTTCTCATGTTTTCTGATTGTTTTATATTCTCCCATCTAGTAACTTGGCACAACTAAGCTATTAAAATGTAATTGAAAATGTCATGGATACTCTGGAAAATAGTGTGGCAGTTTCTTAAAAAAAAAGACACACAAAAAAAATCACTAAACACAGACTTACCATAAAACCTAGCAATCTCATTCCTTGGCATTTATCCCAGAGAAGTAAAAGCTAAACCTCTACATGTATTTGTGAGAGGCAAAAACTAGAAACCACCAGAATGGCGTGCAGCGGTGGATGCTTAAGTGAGCTGCTGTACGCTCGTACTGTGGAATGTTAGGGCTTGCCTGGTGGCTCAGCCGGTAAAAAATCCTCCTGCAATGCGGGAGACCTGGGTTCAATCCCTGGGTTGGGAAGATGCCCTGGAGAAGGGAACGGCTACCCCGTCCAGTATTCTGGCCTGGAGAATTCCGTGGACGGTATAGTCTGTGGGGTTGCAGAGAGTGGGACTTGACTGAGTGACTAAGCATGGACCGTTACTTGGCAATAAAGAGGAGTGAACTAGTGATGTGTGCTAAGTTGCTCAGTTGTGTCCAGCTCTTTGCAACCCTATAGACTGTAGCCCACCAGGCTTCTCTGTCCATGGGATTCTCCAGGCAAGAATATTGGAGTGGGTTGCCATTTCCTCCTCCAGGAGATCTTCTCCACCCAGGGATCAACACCAGTCTCTTATGTTTCCTGCATTGGCAAGTGGGTCCTTTACCACTAGTGACACCTGGGAAGCCCAAGTACATTATGCTGATTGAAAAGAATCTCAAAAGTTCACATACTATATGATTGTATTTATATAGCATTATTGAAATGATAAAATTACAGAGATGGAGAACAAGTTAGTGGTTACCTGGGATCAGGAATAGTAGGGAAGGAGGATAGGTTTGATTGTAAAGGATAGCATGAGGGAGATATTTGTGATGATAGCATAGTTCTGTATCTTGATTTTGATGGTGTTTACATGAATCTATACGTATTGGGGGTTCCCTGGTAGCTCAGACGGTAAAGCGTCTGCCTATAATGCGGGAGACCCGGGTTCGATCCCTGGGTCGGGAAGATCCCCTGGAGAAGGAAATGGCAGCCCACTCCAGTGTTCATGCCTGGAAAATCCCATGGACCGAGGAGCCTGGGGGGCTACAGTCCATGGGATTGCAAAGAGACGGACACGACTGAGCGACTTCACTTTCACTTCCACTTCCATACGTATGATAAAACAGCATGGAACTGTACATGTTGCATCAGTGTCAGTTTCCTGGTTTTGAAGTTGCATGGTTACACAAGATGCACGCGCTGGGAGAAACTGTGTGAAGGGCGTATGAGGCTTTTGTGCTCTCTTTGCAATTTCCTATGAACCTAAACTTATTTCAAGATGAAAAATTAAAGATTTGTTTCTTTAGAGATTTAAGTGGTATTTAGCATAATCATTTGCCACTCATGGTACTGCATTTGATCAACATAAATCAATCTATGCCTTTCAAAATAATATTACTGTTGAGATTGACAAGAGAACTGTAGTGATAATTTAGTTGGATTTACAATTAGCTGAAACCTATTTAAACAAGAACTGAGACACTGTAGTTGTTTGCTTGATATCCTGACTATCTAAGACATTCCTTGTCTTAATTTTTAAACTAAGTGGTAAGGCTTAATTTGCGTCCTGTTCGGGCTCGCTCTCCGTTCCCGGTGCTCCTGTGTACTGGCTTCTAGAGGACGGGGGCCACAGCAGTGAGTCCTGTGCGACACCCGTCCTCCCGGGGGAGCTTGATGAACAATAAGTACTTCCGACTTGGCGTTAATGTTTTTCTTAATATAGAGTTGAAAATCTTCTGGTAAGATTTTGGAAAAAATCTGATTTTTTTTTTTTTTCAGAAAAGCAATATTCACCTCAAACTTTCAAACTTTTGAACAATGTTGTACTATATATTAAGTAAAATGAATATTCTTATGCAAATTTAAAATGAATATTACAAAATCAGAACTTATAGTTCTCTTTGGAAAATGTGGCGCATGTAACTTAAATATTTTTCTTTTGTACTTATTATCAAGCTCAAAGTGAATATGAAGGGGAAAGGGTAAATATGAGCAAAACTACATATTCTTTAGTAAAATTAAAACAATTTTTTTTCAGGTTAAACTGCAGAACAACATATCATATCAGATGGCAGACATACATCATTTAAAGGGTAAGAGACTTACTTACAAATTAAGGTCACTAAATGTCTAAAATCCTGAAGAATTCAGAAATCCGCAAGTCAGGCAGCTAAATGAAATAGAGTTTTTGAACAAAACTCCTCTGATGGCAAAACATGTTATGTTTCCTTTTGTCTTAAGAGATAATAAAAAATTTTTAATGTTGTTTTATATATAATAAGTACAAGTTAAAATTTGAGACCTGCATTTTATTCTTGTGCTGTGGACAGATTTCATACAATGAAATGTTAAAAGACTCTTTAAAGAAAATTGAGGTGTAGCTTCGGAGACCGTCAGATTACTAGGGAAAGGGTTAGGAATGATCCTTCTTTACTGTGTCCAGCCTGCTGAAATAATCCATTCGGTCTGGGAATGCTTTGGGCAGGTCCCCCAAGCTCAATATTTTAGATACCCTACCCTGGGTACAAAGAAGCCTGGAACAGAAACCAGGGAGCCTGGAGGTAGATTAGATAGATGAATAGTTTTTTTTGTTTCGTTTTGATGAAGTGATTGTGGTTGTTCAGTTGCTAAGTCATGTGTGACTCCTTACGACCCCATGGACTATGGCACACCAGGTTCCTCTGTCCTCCACTGTCTCCCAGAGTTTGCTCAAATTCATGTCCGTTGAGTTGGTGATGCTGTCTAACCTCTGCCACCCTCTTCTCCTTCTGCCTTCAGTATTTCCCAGCATCAGGGTCTCTTCCCACTGAGTCAGCTTTTCGCATCAGGTAGCCAAAGTATTGGAGCTTCAGCTTCAGCATCAGTCCTTCCAGTGAATATTTGGGGTTGATGAAGTGATAGGAGATGTCTAAAGCTTTTATGAAAAATAATAGTTAAAGAGAACAAGCTCTATACTCTGCTTGAATTACTTCACGCTATCCCTGGCCTTTGGAATTTGGGGTGTAAGGACTACCCCTCTTTTCCCTCACACCCTTTGATTACAACAATATATATTTTAAAACTTTGCATGCAGTTTCTCTAAATTTATCTATGTGGGTAGTACTTGCTCTCTAATTTCATAAATTTTTCTTTATAACCATTTTGAACCTCTTTATAATTAGGTAATATATTTTTAACATCCTCTTGAAGAAGCCAACCTAAGTTGACTAATTTATGCAAGCTTTGTTCCTCCCCAAGCAAAACCATTAGGAAGTAGCATTGGTATATTATAACCCAAACACAGGGATTATTCACTTTTTGCTATCTACGATTTTGAACAGCTTTGGTTTTCCGTTAGAAATTCACTTTCTGGGTGGCCGAATTTGTTTCTGTTGCATTTGTGTCCATGTTCTGTTCCTTTGACGCACAGAAGTGCACAGGATGACACTGAAGCTGGTGCACTGTCAGTGCTGCTTACAGCTTGTAGTTTACAGATGGTTCTGCTTGTCATCAAAGTGTATTTCTTAGTAAATAGTAATAGACTGTGGCTTTTCCTTGTTTATGTCAGAGGAAATGACAGCCCATGTTACTGAGTAAAAATCTTTATTGTACTGTGTGTATCCACAGTTGAAGTAGATCTTGAGATGTTTTGAAATTTAGGTGATAGACTTTGGCAAAGAAAAAAGATTTGATTTGAGCTTATAACTGTGCAACTTTTGGCTTTAGTGCAGTTACTGAAGCTTGGACTCGTGAGATTGAGTTTCATTAATGTGACTTTTGCATCTTAGGAACTATTTCTACTGAAACTAACCCTTGACAAGTTGACAGTACAATCCACATTTGCCTGTTTTCATTGAGATTAATGTCAGATTCATTGAAGTTAATACACATCAGATTTAAAAAAAAAAAAACCAACCCTTATGGTAATTAATATTTTCTTGGAAATAAAAAGGTTGGAGTTGTTTTTAGTGCCTGAGAAAGTAAATTAACATTCTAGTATACATTGATTTATTTAGAATAACTTACCTTTTTTTATGCCTATTACTGAAAGAAAATCTGAAATAAAAATGTTTGAAAAGTAAGGTTTTTTTTTTTTTTTTGGCTTTAAAAGCTTATCCTAGGCAACCCCTTTCTTAACCATATTCCTAATCTTTTGAAGTTAAATTGAGGGATTATGGCCATACCCTTCTATAGCATACCCTGCTGTTACTGTTATTGCTCGATTGGGCCGTCGGCCTTGGATCTGATATCCTATTAAGTTAGGCGGCGCACTGTGCTGTGGTGACCTTGAGCAGCCACACTAGACAGAGTATCTTTGGGTTCAAAATAAAACACATGGCAATCAGTTGAAAGGAAAACTGAGATATAGGAAACTTTTACCTTTAGTTTTGCTTTCTGATCTGTTTGTGCCCCACCCCAGCCCCGCTTTTCTTGGCCTTGCCATGTGGCTTGTGGGGCATCAGTTTCCTGACCGGGGCCTCAACCCGGGCCATGGCAGTAAGACTGTAGAATCCTGACCACTAGACCCCCAGGCAGCTCTGCTTTTACCCCTTTCAAGTCTTTATTTTAGACTACTCAAAGCACCTGTCAGCTCCATGCTTTATATTCCTTTCCCTGTATTCAAATAGGTTAGAACCTGATATTTTACATGCACTGAAATTCATACTGTTTTATTTTTTTGTCAATTGAATTTTAAGCCTTTTATTTCCATTTACAAATGGAAGACTTTATTTCCTGATAAAGATATTTCAAATACTGTTAGAAGTATTTTGGGGAAGCAGAGAAGCAATTTCAAATCTTGAAATCATACATGCCTCACGTTCATTCTGAAGGTAAACTTAGGTTTGCTATGTAGGAAAAAGAAGCCTGAAGGAGCCCTATAGATCACCAGTTGAGACCCATTACCCTGGTAACTGCGAGGTTATGCTGGTTTGATTTTTTTTTTAATTATAGTAACTTTTCATTTCTGGAATCACTGCTGGCTAACTGTCTACAAGCTACGAGACTTTTTGTCACTGCCTTCTGCCAGGATCTCATTGTTCTTTAGAATCAACACCCATAGCTGAGGCCGGAGTTCTGCTACCTCTTGCCTTCTGCTGCTTAGCAGGTGGGACCAGGGATCGGGTAACAAGCCGAATGTGTGATTCATGGATACCTGGGCGCAGATTTGTTACTTTTGTCTGAGGTAGGGGAAATGACCGAAAAACTACAGAAATCAACCATGTTTGCATATTGTAGAGTTAATTGAGCAAGTAGGGAAATTTAAAATGTGACTTGATTAAACTCATAAGAACAGGGAGTAGAATGGTGGTTACCAGGGTTTGGGAGGTATGTGGGGAAAATGAGATGTTGGCCAAAGGGTACAAACTGTTAGTCACAAGATGAGTAAGGTTTGTTGATCTATGGATGCTGCTGCTGCTGCTGCTAAGTCACTTTAGTCGTGTCCGACTCTGTGCGACCCCATAGACAGCAGCCCACCAGGCTCCCCCGTCCCTGGGATTCTCCAGGCAAGAACCCTGGAGTGGGTTGCCATTTCCTTCTCCAATGCATGAAAGTGAAAAGTGAAAGTGAAGTCGCTCAGTCGTGTCTGACTCTTAGCGACCCCATGGACTGCAGCCCACCAGGCTCCTCCGTCCATGGGATTCTCCAGGCGAGAGTACTGGAGTGGGTTGCCATTGCCTTCTCCGGATCTATGTATAGCATGATGATTATAGTTAAAAATATTGTGTTATAACAATACTGTATTATATACTTGGAAGTTGCTGAAAGAGTAGATCTCACCACACACAAAAAAGTGGTAATTATGTGAGATAGTGGAGGTGTTGGCTAATGTGATGGTAATCATTTTACAACATGTTAGTGAATCAAATCAACATGTATGCCTTGAACTCACATAGTGTTATATCTCAATTAAAATTTTAAAAATAATAAAAAATGTGGCTTGAATAGGCAAGCATAATTATTAACTACAAGCATTTTATGTAAATCATTTACATTTCATATTTGATTATTAATCCTATACAATAGCTACTACATGCATATTGTTAAACTTTATATACCTCATCAAGCGTTCATGTGACTTGAACATTTTTATTTGTTGTTGTTACTGTAGTTATGATTCCACAATAAAAGTTGTAGAGAAAAAAATGCGCTCAGAATCCCACCACTGAACTTAATCACTGATAGCACTTTGATGTAATTTTATTCTCTATGTTTTTACATGGATATACTTATAAATTTGTGTTTATATCTGCTTTTTAAAAACTTACATCAAGGATTACTGGGTGCCTTTAAAGTAACAAGACTAATTTTTTAAGCCTTTCGTGGAAAGCACATGTTATAATATTGGCATATTATAGTTAGAAATTATATTTTAGTCTTAATAAATAGATGTTTCTTATATAGAATAGACCTCTGTTCCCATTTGTAAAAATGAAGAGTTTCTTAATTACTGCTTTTGCTTAACTGATAAGGCTGTTGGCAATTTTTTTTATCCTCTGTCCAAGAAACTGACATTTCTCTTCCTTGGCTGAATTTTTTTTTTTTGTAGAATTAGATGGCGCGACTCTAGAAAATGTGGGGCCAGTGATTAGAGATTAAATGTTTACAAAAGAGCATCTGGCTCAGCTTTTAATCTATTATCCAGTTTGAAATTTTGTATTATTCATTACAACTAACACTTTTAGCACTGGTCCAGAGATTATAAGCTTTGGAAATGCAATTTTGGTGTATGTGGATGCAATCAGTAGCAGAACTAGAAATCAGATCTAAAGCGATTGGTACCTAAGATGGGAATCAAATGTGATTTTAAAGTGAATTCTGCATCCATAGCTAACACGTCTAAAAAATATGATTTTCCCCTTACTTTTTGTAAAGCAAAAAGTTAGGTTTAGAGAGGTAGGCAGCTCTTCATGTTCTGTTTCTACAACTTAGCATATGGTCTACATAATGTGTAAAGGTGTATAATTTTTTAATATTTCTGATTGATGTGAAAGCCACTGAGGCTGTCTTGTTTTAAAAATAAATTTTATTGCCCATACATGTGTATGGAAGGCAATTAAATATGGTACTAGTTGTGTAATTTAACTTCTTGAGAGTATAAATACATAAATTGAGAACTGTATATAATTTTTAAAAATCCCATTCCTTCTCACAGGAAGTAGTAGAGTAAGTAAACTTCATTCCTTTGTTTTTGTTTTTTTACGTTTTGTGGATAGAGCAACTTGCTGAGCTTCGTCAGGAGTTTCTTCGACAGGAAGACCAACTGCAAGACTATAGGAAGAACAACACTTACCTTGTGAAGAGGTTAGAATATGAGAGGTAAGATTCTGCATGTGGTAAATATTTATCAATTTTGAGTATTTGTCCAACATTCAGACAGTTCATTTCTTCCTTTCTGGAGTTTGTTTTTCTTCTCTTCTTTCATTTTACTAAGTCTTTTAAATTCCTTTTTATTGTCTTTGTATGTGTCTGTGAAATCTATTTTCTTTTATTTTGATAGCTTGAAGAACATGAAAATATCTCTTACAAGACATGTTGAATCTACCCTTGTAGTAGAGTTCATTGTAAGACAGAAAATCTTGTAAGAAATCACTTTTACAGTAAAAGGTATTTTTTAGGTCTGCACACCAAAAATTAGAAAGATTCACCATATTTTAAACTGTTTATCCATTTCTGACATCTTACTCTTGTAGGATGTCAATAGGCATCTACTACATATGTATTTTTTAATCTAATAGTGTTCAGTAAATTTCCATGTATCTTTAGGATTAAAGATTGACATACAGGTAATAAATTATCCCAGTGTATTAGTGTGCTGGAGCTTGTTTAATCTCTCCCAGTTGCTGAACCACTGTAGGAGTTTTTCTTTTCTCACTGCTCTGACTATCAACTATAAAAATCTTTGTGTAAAAAGGATTTTTTCCCTCTTATGTTATTTCACTGATTATATTCTCAAATACAGAACTTCTGAGATAGAATGTTTTATTAATCTTATCACATATATGAAAGATTGCTTTGTAGAATGACTATACTGATTTATACTGTAAATGTTTCCCTGTAGCCCCACCGACATTGACTTTTATAATTCTAACTTAATTTCACTAGTATAGGAATAAGGATAGTACTATATATACATATAGGAAGCTTAATTTGCATTTTAAATGGTGGGAGGTAATATTTTTCTATGTATTTATTATTTCTATTTATTATTTTCTATGTATATATTTAATATATACATTTATTCTATGTACACATTGAAAATACATTATTTTCTATGTATTTATTATAAAAGGCACATATATTTTACATGAATGATCTTTTTGTATTCTTTGCCTGCTTGTCCAGTTGAAATTCATAATTTTATGTTTTGTGCCTTTACATTTTGTTTTCTCTTGCTGGTTGCATTCTGTCTTTTTTATTAGTTTCTTCCATTCTTGCTCTTTTTATGTTTTAGGCTTTTATTATTGTGTTGAAAGTATTGGGGTGGCCAAGAAGTTAGTTTGAGTTTTTCATAACATCTTACAGAAAAACCCAAATGAACTTTTTGGATAATTCAATACTATTTGATGACTCATCTGCTGCAACTGCTTAAAATTTCTTTCTAAAAATTCATCTTTCTAATTTCTGTTTTTAAATTAGTTTATCAATATTTTTATCCTCTATTAAAGATTCAGGTAGTTTAAGAATTTTGACTGTGAGCTATTTTCATGTCTGCTCTTTGTCCTTTCCTATCCACTCTCCTGCTGACTGAATGCTTTATCCATATAGATGTATATTTTCAACTTCTAAACATCTTTGAGAATTAACCCAAGATGATATAGTCTAAAAGAATGACTTTCTAATTTAGTTTTCAGTGTGGACAACAAATCAAGGAGTTAAGAGCTCAGCATGAAGAAAATATTAAAAAGTTAACAGACCAATTTTTGCAGGAACAAAAGGTAAATTTTAAAAATACTTAAAATATGTTCTTGTTATAAATCTTATAATTTAGAAGATAAAATTTGTATTTTTGTCATAAAATGTTATATTTTTAAGTATTTTAGCCTATATAATTCTAAAAATGACTTTAGTGGCTTTAGTACTGAGTAAATTAAACATTTGCAAAAATATAACCACAGCTCTTAAAACTAATTTTGAGCTAAATAACTTTTATCTGACTTTTAAAAGTAATTTTTGCTATTTATTTCTCAGTGTGTAAGTGGATAATCATGTTACTGAAAAATCAGTTACTTCATATTTTATGCTTTTGAGAAATAGGAAAAAAAAATTGAGAAACTTTCACTTATCAATCTTTGTTGTTTTGAATTCCTTTCTTAAAATACAAAAATAAATGCTAGCCACTATTTTCATATTTTGGGGGTGGCAGATTCTTTTATTAAGTCATACAGTTCCAGTAGATAAATATTATGGAAGTCCTGCTAGAAATAGAGGGAATTTGTCTGAAATTTACAAGTCATTAGGACATTCACTTTTCACACCCTGTAGTCTAGTCTGACTAGCTATAGTTTGTGTAAAGTCTTGTGATTTAGAGTAAAGAGAGATTGAACAGTGAAAAGTATTCTTCTTGGTCTTTGGTAGTCTCTCACCTAAAGGACTAGAAGCTAAGGAAACCAGGTTTTCGTTCTTTGTTTCCAGGTTTTCGTTCTTTGTTTTTTCACCATTTTGCAACATGATATTGAGGGCATCTTTTTTTTAACCCATAAAGTGAAACAGCTGCTGTCTGTCTGCAGCCTTCCTTGCAGAGATGTGGGGTAGGTTGCAGGGAGATGGCAGGCACGAGTGAGCTGCCTTAGTGGAGTGAAGCCTGGGGGCAGCCAGCAGATACTGCTGAGACCCTGCGTGCAGAGAGGGCCATAGCAGTGGTTTGGCCAAAAGTTTGTTCGTGTCTTCTTTAAGATCTTAATGGAAAAACCTGAACGAGCTTTTTGACCAATTCAGTAGGACCAGAAGCTTGCTGTTGCAATTGTGGTATTATGAGCCCAGTGTATAAATAATGAAATGTTTGTTCTCTTCTCACAAAAGCACGTATGTCAGCTTTTTCCTTTCTCCTGGCAAGTGTATTTCTCTCTTTCTGCTCTTCTATTTCAGCCTATTTTTATATTGTTAATTAACTAATATCCTGCCCTAAACGAAGCAAGATGGAGAGAAATGGAGGTGCTTAACCTTTAGTTCTGTTAGGAGGACGTCTTTCTAGGATGACACACCAGCGCCTCATTCTACTCCTCTTCCTCAGTTCCTGTTCTTCAGCTACCATGACTTGATTCTGTGAAATCTGAGTTGTTTTTCATAGGAGCAAATCCATTATAAGCTATAAGAAACAAGCATAATGTGTGTTCAGGGATTTTTTTTTTAACCAAGTACGTGCCTGTCTTAGAAATTACTCTAAGGAAGGGGTCAGCAAACTAAGTGCAACCTCCTGCCTTTTTTTCATACTGCCCATCAGCCCCCCAAAATTGGTTATTGCATTTAAAAAATGGTTAAAAAATCAAAAGAATATTTTGTGATGTGGGAAAGCTGTAAGAAAATCAAATCTTAATGTCTAGAAATACAATTTATTAGAACACAACCACACTCATTGGTTTACTGCTTTCATGCTATTACAAAGGAAGATAAATTGTTACAGACCAGAGGAGATTTGGGTTTCCCAGGTGGCTCAGTGGTAAAAAATCCACCTGCCAACGCAGGACATGTGGAAGACACAGGTTCTGTCCCTGGGTTGGGGAGATCCCCTGGAAAAGGAAATGGCAGTCCACTCCAGTATACTTGCTTGGAAAATCCCCTGGACAGAGGAACCTGGCAGGTTACAGTCCCTGGGGTTGCAAAGAGTTGGGCATGACTGAGCACAGAGGAGACTTAATAAGACCTGAGTTCTTAAATGTAATGTAGTAAAAATGTAAGTAAATAAATAAATTAAATAAATGCAGCATAATATCCTGGATTGGATCCTGGAACAGAAAAAGGCCTTAATGGAAAAAGTAGTGAAATTTAAATAAAGGCTGGAGTTTAGTTAATAATGTACTAACGTTGTTTTCTTAGTTTTGCAAATGTATCATGCTAATGTGATGTTAACACTAAGGGAAATTGAGTGATTGGTAATTAACTTTTCTGTAAATTTAAATTATTTCAGAGTAAAAAGTATATTTAAAAAAGAACTAAGTGGCCTCCTTACCAAATCAACAATATTGTGTTTAGAAAGCCATCCTATTTTATTCATTGTATTTATTGTTGTCCATTCACAGAAAACTGTTGCATTAATAATGAATCAGAGGACAATATCTTTGTTAACTGTTTTAAATGGAGAAGTATTTTGGACCAGTAGTTTGTTGACTTTTAAGTTTTGTTTGTTTGTTTTATCTGTATAGTACAGCAGTGGAGTACTTACTATGGAAGTTGCCTTATACTGTGGCATAGCGAAAATGCAGAGATGCAGGATGGCTTAGGTTGTGTACCTCATGGGTTTTCTCACCTTTGCCTTTGTACCAATATGTTCAGAAATTGCAGTTTAACTCTCCGACATAAATCACAGCAGGATCCTCTATGACCCACATCCCAGAATTTTAGAAACAAAAGGAAAAATAAACAAATGGGACCTAATGAAACTTAAAAGCTTTTGCACAACAAAGGAAACTATAAGCAAGGTGAAAAGACAGCCCTCAGATTGGGAGAAAATAATAGCAAACGAAGCAACAGACAAAGGATTAATCTCAAAAATATACAAGCAACTCCTCCAGCTCAACTCCAGAAAAATAAATGACCCAATCAAAAAATGGGCCAAAGAACTAAACAGACATTTCTCCAAGGAAGACATACAGATGGCTAACAAACACATGAAAAGATGCTCAACATCACTCATTATCAGAGAAATGCAAATCAAAACCACAATGAGGTACCATTACACGCCAGTCAGGATGGCTGCTATCCAAAAGTCTACAAGCAATAAATGCTGGAGAGGGTGTGGAGAAAAGGGAACCCTCTTACACTGTTGGTGGGAATGCAAATTAGTACAGCCACTATGGAAAACAGTGTGGAGATTTCTTAAAAAGCTGGAAATAAAACTGCCATATGACCCAGCAATCCCACTTCTGGGCATACACACCGAGGAAACCAGATCTGAAAGAGACACGTGCACCCCAGTGTTCATCGCAGCACTGTTTATAATAGCCAGGACATGGAAGCAACCTAGATGCCCATCAGCAGACGAATGGATGAGGAAGCTGTGGTACATATACACCATGGAATATTACTCAGCCATTAAAAAGAATTCATTTGAATCAGTTCTAATGAGATGGATGAAACTGGAGCCCATTATACAGAGTGAAGTAAGCCAGAAAGATAAAGACCATTACAGTATACTAACACATATATATGGAATTTAGAAAGATGGTAACAATAACCCTATATGCAAAACAGAAGAAGAGACTCAGATGTATAGAACAGACTTGTGGACTCTGGGAGAAGGCGAGGGTGGGATGGTTCAAGAGAACAGCATCGAAACATGTATATTATCTAGGGTGAAACAGATCACCAGCCCAGGTTGGGTGCATGAGACAAGTGCTCGAGCCTGGTGCACTGGGAAGACCCAGAGGGATCGGGTGGAGAGGGAGGTGGGAGGGGGGACCGGGATGGGGAATACATGTAAATCCATGGCTAATTCATTTCAATGTATGACAAAAACTACTGCAATGATGTAAAGTAATTAGCCTCCAACTAATAAAAATAAATGGAAAAAAAAAAAAAAAGAAATTGCTGTTTATCATTGCACGAATCAGCAGTTACGCTCTGAGAATTTGCTGTAGCTTACCAAGTTCCCAGACACTGTGGGAGTAAGGATGGTTTGAACCCCTTTCCACACTTCTCCAGCTTTGTAATTTGAACAGACTACGTAACTTCTTTAAGCTTCAGTTTTATTTTGTTTTCCTTAAAACTGTTCATTTATCTCTATTGGATAGGCTTCAAAACAAGTTGCAAACCATGAGACATGATAGAAGTATTGACATCATCTGCCTGGTACACTGGAATACTTGATGGTCAAATCGCCAGTTCTTTATTGTGACAAATTCTTACCATTTGGCTCTTGTCTTTGTAGAGTTCCTGTAGATTTTGTAGTACTGTTGTTTTTTTTATAATGTTACCAGTGATTGCATTGCACAGTGCTTTAGAGTTGACAAAGCATTTAATGTTAATATTATTATGCATTAAATATTAATATGGCAACCCAAGCATATGTACTTGATTCCGTCCTCTCCCAGTTTTCTGTGAGACAGCTCAGCCAGGATAAGAGAAAACCGGGTCCCAAAAGATCTGATTCAGGCTTGATCATGACCTGCAGAGTCGAGCTTCCCAGGAGGCGGTGTGGCCAGGCGAGGTAGCCCACAGCGGGCACCGGCTTGCGTACCGTCCTGTCGTCCTTGCGGTGCTGCAGTGGCCGGCTACCGGGAAGGAAGTTTGCCCCTTCTCCACCCTTGCTGTTTCTGCTTGGAGAAGAGCCCGACAGTGCCGTGGCTGTCGACCCCACCTGAGGGGGCACCGTGTGCCGGCCTCCTGCTGCCTGCTCTCCTGCTTGGTTAGAACGTGCCGTGCAGAGCCCAGGCCGCCCCCAGGCCGCTGCAGCGACCCCAGCACGCAGCACGGCTGTCTTCTCACAGTCACTCTCTCAGTGCAGCCGAAGGGCATTATCGCTGCCTGACATTTTAGGCCATCTGTTGTGGTTTAGAGACTTTAAAAAAAAACTTATTCTTTGACTTCATATCAGGTATAAAAACTGAACAAAAAATAATATCATATCCCACATCTCTGCTGCTGCTGCTGCTAAGTCACGTCAGTCGTGTCCAACTCTGTGTGACCCCATAGATGGCAGCCTTCCAGGCTCCCATCCCTGGGATTCTCCCGGTAAGTATACTGGAGTGGGTTGCCATTTCCTTCTCCAGTGCATGAAAGGGAAAAGTGAAAATGAAGTCGCTCAGTCGTGTCCGACTCCTAGCGACCCCATGGACTGCAGCCCACTGGGCTCCTCCGTCCATGGGATCTCCCAGGCAAGAGTGCTGGAGTGGGTTGCCATTGCCTTCTCCAGTCTCTGAGTGTTTGGAATTTGGACCCGTGGTATGGACTTTAAAAAAAATGAACTATTTCAGAATATTTAGTAACAAAAAAAAAAGAAATGTTTCAGAATATTTAGTTAATATTAACTAAATATTAACATTTAGTTAGTAAAATGAACTGGTTCAGAATATTAAGTATTCGGAATTTGGGCCCATGGTATGTATTTTTAAAAAAATGAACTGTTTCAGAATATTTAGTTGACACACACTTTAGTTGTGTCAATAGTTTAGCATTTTGAGCTGAAAAATACTTACTGTTGGCAAATCTTAATCTCACAGCAAGAGGCCCACAAGTCTGAATCAAAAGTTGGAAATGAAGCGGATGCGGACAATCATGCAGCGCCTAAAAGCATCCCAGAAGTCGCTGAGAACGGTGCAGGCAAGAGTGAAGCGCCCCCGAGCCATCGTACCCCACGCGGGAGAGGTATCACTGTTGCTCTGTGCTAAGGGGTCATTGACTTCTTCTTGCTGTGAAGTGAGCATTCTCAGTCATGAAGAATATTGTTTGCTTTTACTTTCATTATGTTTAGGTGTCTGTTTCAGATTTGGGTCCTTTAACAGAGAAGGAAAAATAATAAATCTATAGAGTTATAGCTATGTCAAAGGCAGGATTTACAGATATTCATTCCATGGAGCCCATTGCTTTACAAACTGATTGTTACATTCCTTCAATGTATGTAAGGAAAATTACAGAATTATATTTTTGTTACTTGAGCAGAACAAATCAAACGAGGTGGTGATGCAGGCATGCCTGGAATAGAAGAGAATGACCTTGCAAAAGCTGAAGATGTTCCTGTTGGTAAGTAAAAGTTACTAGATTTTAACTGAAGCAGTCATCGTATTTTCATGAGACTCTGTTGTTTTTTTGAGTAATACCTGAGAAAAGTCGTTTATATCTTGGGGACCAATATTTCCAGTTAACTGACTACCCCATTAATTCCCAGAATATAATTGTTTTGGATATAACTTTTATGGAAAATTTTGCTAAAGTGTATAAAATACTTGTTTTTGCCTGAAGAGTCAAACACATTTGAACTTTTTCTTGATGACTCAGTTATTGCTCATGACAATTATGCTGTATGTTCAAGCTACTTATGTTTACTAAAAGTATGTGTGGTTTATTTCTTTCAGGCTAAATGTTCCTAGGTTGCAGTGTTGTTTAATACGGCAGAGTAATATCCTTATATAGGTTTTTAGGACTTGGCATGTCAGTTAATCACCCTATAATTTAAACAGCCTATTCACTTTTTTTTTTCCTTCTTTTATGGCCACTTCTGTTCAGTGTATGTCTCTTCATTAATATGTCTGCTTCTTTCTTTCCATTTGGTCTGTATCACTGCTGCTGTCCTAATCTCATCAATTTTTTTCATGTCTCTCTGTTTTTCTTACCATTTCTATGTTTCTTAGCTATCATAGATACCCTTCCATGCTGACTCCAGTTTATTATGGTGAAAAATAGGAAGTAACAGCCTATCTTTGGTTCTTCTTCACTGTTTTCATTCCTTTTCAATCTCCGTGAATATTTCTATGGTTATAGGTCATTGTTTGTGGCTGAAATTGCTGAGTGTCTGAGGTCCAAATGAATGAATGAATATTAACAACACTGCAACCTAGGAACATTTAGCCTGAAAGAAATAAACCACACATACTTTTAGTAAACATAAGTGGCTCAAACATAGCATAACTGTCTTGAGCAATAACTCTGAGTCATCAAGAAAAAGTTCAAACATGTTTGACTCTTAAGGCAAAAACAATTAGTCCTTTCCTTTGCATAGTTTTGCTATCTTCTCAAAGTCTTTCATGTCTATTTTCTTTTGAGTTGCCAGTTCACAGTGTATTCCCTCAAAGAAAAGGTCAGGGCGAGAGCAAGAACATGGGTTTATAAATAAGGAGTAAGGATGAGCATAGTTTTTTTGTAAGGCCATGAAGTTATCCAGTGATTCTTAAAGTGTGGTTCAGCAGTGTCAGCCTTACCCAGGAGCTTGTTATTTAATAGAAACACAAATTCTTAGGTCCCATTCCAGACAGACAGCATAAGAAATTCTTGGAATGTAGCCAAACAGTCTGTGTTTTAACAAGCTCTCCAGGTGACTTTGGTCTTTGCTAATGTTTTAGAACCACTGGCTTAGATGTTAAGGAAATATTGAGGGTAAGGACCATGTATTCTTCTGAATTTTTTCAGTACTTACCCTAGTCCTCGACTCACTGAGTTTTAGGTTGATGAATCTCTTTATATTGTGCTTACTTTTTAAAAATTAAATGAAAGGTTCTTTAAATTCTATAGTGCTTTATAATTTTCAAAAGTCTCACACACATGATTTCATATAATCCCATAAAATAGCTGTCTTTTTCCACCTACCCTCATATGGCCCCCCTTTCTTCCCTCTCCCCACTGGTGACCACCAGTGTGTTCTCTGTTTCTGAGTCTGCTTCTCTGTGGCTTTTTTGTTTTAGTCACTAGTTTGTTGTAATTTTTATATTCCACATGTAAGTATATCATCCAGTATTTATCTGTCTCTGTCTGACTTACTTCATTGCATGTTGCTGCAAATGACAAAGGTTCCTTCCTTTTCACGGCTGAGTAGTATTCCTGTGTGTGTGTGCACATGCATGTGTGTGCATGTGTGTGTGCATGCGTGTATGTGCGCATTTGTGTGTGGGTGTGGGGTGTGTGTGTGCATGCGCGTGTGTGTGCATATGTGTGTGGGTGTGTATGCATGTGTGTGCATGTGTGGGTGGGTGTATGTGCGTGTGCGCGCACATGTGTGCATGCATGTGTGTGTGCATGTGCGTGTCTGTGTGCATGTGCATGCATGTGTGTGTGCATGCATGTGTGTTGGTCTGTATGTGCGTGTGTGTTGGTGTGTATGTGCGTGTGTGTGCACGTGCATGTGTGTGGGTATGTGCGTGTGTGTGCGGGTGTGTGTGAGGGTGTGTGCACGCGCGTATGTGGGTGTGGGTGTGCACACGCATGCGTGTGTTGGTATGGGTTTGTGCGTGTCTGTGTGCACATGTGTGTGTGCGCACACGTGTGTGTGCGTGCGTGTGTGGGTGTGTGTGCACGTGCATGTGTGTGCGTGTCTGCGTACACGTGTGTGTGCGCGTCTGTGAGCGTGTGTGTGCATGTGCATATGTGGGTGTGGGTGCGCACGCATGTGTGTGTGGGTGGGTGTGTGCGCGCGCACATGGGTGTGTGTGTGTGCGTGTCTGTGTGCACGTGTGTGTGTGTGCGTGTCTGTGTGTGTGCACATGTGTGGGTGTGTGTACGTCTGTGTGTGTGGGTGGGTGTGTGCATACACACCACATCTTCTGTATCTGTTCATCTGGTTTTGGACATTCAGGTTGCATCCATATCTTGGCACTTGTAAATAATGCTGCTGTGTACATTAGGGTGCATGTATCTTTTCAAATTAGTGTTTTTGCTGTTTGGATATTTACCCTGCAGAGAACTACTGGGTCATATGGTAGCTCTGATTTTAGTGTTTGAGAAACCGCCATACTGTTTTCCACAGTGGCTGCACCAATTCACATTCCCACCAACAGTGCACCAGTGGATTAATTTTTCTTTACTTTTGATTTTCTGTAATCTGAAAATGATATGCTGTGAAGTAGTCTTTTTGTTTGCTTGTTTGGGCGTTTATCTTGCTCTGTGTTCTCTGAGCTTCCTGGATCTGTAGTTTGGTGTTTGACATTAATTTGGCAGAAATTGTCAGTCATTATATGTCAAATATTTCTTCTGTTCTTTTCTCTCTTCTCCATCTGGTATTCTCATTACACATGTTACACTTTTTGTAGTTGTCTTAGGTATTTGGTTCTGTTTTCTTCCAGCCTCTGTCCTCTTTGCTTTTCTGTTTTGGAGGATGCTATTGATAAATCCTTTAACTCAGAGCTTCTTTCCTCAGTTTTGTCTAGTCTATTACTAATCCTATCAAAGGCATTCTTCATCTCTGTTACAGTATTTTTGATCTCTAGTATTTCTTTTTTATTCTTTCTAGGATTTCTGTTTCTGTACTTTCATTGCCCTTCTATTCTTGCATGCTGTGCTTTATCCAGTCGAGTTCTTAGCATCTTAGTTACAGTTCTTTTAAACTCCTGGTGTGACAATTCCAGCACTCCTGCCGTATCTGTTCGGAAGCTCACTCCCTTTTTAGAGTGCATTTCGTGCCTTTCAGTGCGCCTCGCATGATACGGGGCTTCCCTGGTGGCTCAGGGGGTAAAGCGTCTGCCTGCAATGCCGGAGACCTGGATTCGATCCCTGGGTCAGGAAGATCCCTTGGAGAAGGAAATGGCAGCCCACTCCAGTATTCTTGCCTGGAGAATCCCATGGACGGAGGAGCGTAGTAGGCTACAGTCCGCTGGGTCACAAAGAGTTGGACGTGACTGAGCGACTTCACTTTCACTTTCAGCATGATACATACACCAGGATACACACACCAGGGAAGCAGCCCTGCTGTAAGGCGGCAGTGAGGTGTGGCGAGGGGACGCACTCTTTAGTTCTGCGACTGGCTCTCAGTCTTTCAGTGAGCCTGTGCCTCTGGATTCTGAACTTCACAAGTGTTTCTCAGTTTTTTCCTTCCCCTCTTAGATGGGACACGGTGGCTCAAGTGAGGCAGAGTTGGGTATTTTCCTTCCGTAGGTCACTTAGACTCTGATAATGCCGTAGCAAGTTAGGCGCTGTTTAACTAGTTTCTGCAAAGGGCAGACCTTATTAGGAGCAGAGTGCTTTGTTTCCTTTTGCCCTTCCACAACCCTCAGGGGGTTTTCTCCAGTATTTACCTGGGAATCTACTTGAGCTCCTGGAGGTAAATTCCCTAGCTTTGTGGGAGCCCCTCTGTGACTGGGCCCCCTAGAGTTTCAACTCTGAGCTGTCCATTCTGAGCCTCTGGCAATTAACCAGGCACAGTTCAGGTTTCCCTACGTGGCTCTGGCTTCTGTGGTGGTTTCTGCTCATTAGTCTCTCCTGTAAGCCAAGACTCCCTGTATTTGCCTGTTTCTCTAATATGATGGTAGCAGTTTGCCCTGTGTCTTTCTCTTTCTGATGGACCCAGAAGAGCTGTTGATTTTTCAGCCTGTTTTAGCTGTTTCCTTGTTGTTAGGATAGAGTGGCAACTTCTAGGCTCCTTATATGCAGACCCAGGAACCAGAAGTCTTCTGGATCAAGTTTGAACCTCTGGACTGTTGGTGCTTTGCTTTGAAAATCGTTGTTTGTAACAGTTACTCTTAATTATTTAGAGAAGTATTTTGAGTATAAAGACTATTTTGATACAGTCACTGGTGAAAAGAAACTCCGAGCTGTACAGTCTGTCAGAGCGAACACAGAGGGAAGCCGAGCTGTGTCTTTGCACCTTGAGCCCGCAGCATGCGCGCGCCTTGCACACCCACGGTCCCAGTACATGTGTGCGGGTGACTTCCCAGAATACCCTTAGCAGTGGGGCGGTGGTCTCTAGAGTCAAACTGCTGGATTCAAGCCCTTGGCTCTGTCTTTTCACAGGCATGTGACCATTTATTTGCCCTCATCCTTATCAATGAAATAGGATTGTAACAGTTTCAACCTCATAGGGTGGATGCGAGGTTTAAATGTAAAGCACCAAGAGGCTTGGTGGTAAAGAATCCCCCTGCCAAGCAGGAAACACAGGTTCGATCCCTTGATTGGGAAGATCCCCTGGATAAGGAAATGACAATCCACTCCAGTATTTTTGCCTGGGAAATCCCATAGACAGAGCAGCCCGGTGGGCTACAGTCCATGGGGTTGCAGAGAGTCAGACACGGCTTAGCAACTAAACCACCACCACCAAGAGT